GAAAGATGCTCGAGATTGTGGGACAGTTCGAGCTACACTACATGGATTAGGCTCAAGGTATGTTTGGTAGTCTTGTGGCTATGCCTTCCATACTAAACAAAGTGATCAAGTCTTTGGGACATAACACAAAGATATTGTCCATCAGGGACCAAGTACAGTCTGTTATAGGAGACGATGGATGGGCCATTTACGCTAATGGCAATATTCGATTGAGGGAAAGGGTTGCAATTCCCCGTCTGTAGATCTAAGAAAGAAGATCCTCAAGGATTTTCATTGCTCCATTTTGATGTGCATCCTGGTCGCACAAAGATATACCATGATCTTCACTATCAGTATTCCTGGATTGGGATGAAGAGAGTAGAAGACTTTGTTAGTAGACGTCTCACATGTTAGCAAGTTAAGGCCAAGCACCAGAGACTGGCATGGTTGTTCCATCCTTTAGAAGTGGTTGAGTGGAAGTGGGAACACATCCCTATAAATTTTGTGACCTACCTACTATGAACTTTACACGGGCATGATGCGATATGGGTGATAATGGACTAGCTTACAAAGTCGACACACTTTTTGGATGTACATATGACCTTCATGCTAGAGAAATTCTGTAGGTTATATATATGTGAGATAGTCTGATTGCACAGGTACCCGTATCTACAGTATCGAATTGGGATCCCATGTTTACAGCTCACTTATGGGAGAGCTTTCAACGAGCTATGGGGATATAGTTGATAATGAGTACAACTTTTCATCCCAAGATGGATGGTTAGTCGGAGAGGACCATTCAGATTTTAGAGAACATGCTTTCGTACATACGTCCTTGACCTCAAGAGTAGTTGGGAGGAGTACTTACCCTTAGTTGAATTCACTTACAATATTAGTTGTTGGGCGAGCATACAGATGGTACCCTCTAAGGCCTTTATAAGAGGCCACACCATTCTCCAGTATGTTAGACAGAGGTTGACAAAAGAACACCTCAGAGAAGGTGGACATGATACAGAAGCGTCTTCTTACGGCTTAGAGCCAACAGAAGAGCTACGCCAACCAGTGGTGGAGATCTTTGGAGTTCAACGTTGGAGATCATTTCTTCTTGAAGGTCATGCCTAAAAGGGAAAGTGGTCAGGTTTGGGAAATGGAAAAATTTGTCGCTGAGGTATATTGGGTCTTTTGAGGTACTTGAGACAGTTGGTACAATTGTTTACCATTTGACATTACCACCAAATCTATTGAGTATTCACACAGTGTTGCATGTCTTTATGTTTTGGAAGTATACTCTAGATCCTACACATGTGATGGATTGGGGTAAGCTAGTTCTTGATAAAGATGGAACCTTTGAGGAAGGACCAGTGCATATCATAGATAGTCGAGCATGGCAAGACAGTGAGGTTAATGAAGGTGTTTTGGTAGCACCGTGGTATAGAGGAGGTGACATGAAAGTGTGAGAACACTATACGCACCACCTATCTGTTTTGCTTGAGGATGGAGGTACATTTCTTGTGGTCATACAGTAGTATGACTTCTTACATTTGCATTTTTTATATGTGCATGTGTGTGCAATTTTAGGGATGAAATTCCTTTAATGAGGAAAGAATGTGAAACCAGGAAAAATTGAAAGTTAACTAAAAAGGGTAAAATGGTAATTAGTCGTTATGGTGCAGGTTAAAAATTTAAATTTTTTAAAAAATCGGATGATGAAGTAAACCTCACTGTTGAATTCGTATTATGAAGTCTAGTTACTCAGTCAATTTTTGTTGAATTCTAAGACAGTTAGATTTTTCATATTTTATGATGCAATTGCATGTCATGCGATTAAAATAAACGCGATCAGATTTAATTCACTGGACCCAAAGAATAATTTAAAGTTAGTGTAATAAAAATATACTAAACTTAATATGGAGCGAGATTTAAGTGATTCAAAATAAAATTAGACCAATTAAAGTGTGACGTATGGCACATTATGAGCCAAGCATTTAAAGGAGTATTTAAAGAGGAAAATCATATTTTCCCCCATTCTTGGTCTGCATCCCATTAGAGACAGAGGGAGAAAGACAAAGAGAGAGAGAGAGAGGGACAGAGAGAAGAAATAGGTTCTTCAAGCTCCTCCATCTTTCTTCTTTGATCTGCAAAGATCCACCGTTGGACCGCTTCGAGACAAGAGTTAAAGTTGTTCTACGCAACGAGAGCTACGCTACCATATCAAAGATTGTATTCTTCTCCAAAAGCTCAAAGACAAGAATTTAGGGCTAAGGCTTGGAATGCTTGATTTGGGGTTCTTGGGACTTCTACTACACGGGTTTACGCTACTAGAGGTAGGGTTTCCTCCTATCTAGATTTATTTCCAATCTAGGGTTGTGATATGAAATGGGTAGAGTGATAGAGATGAAATTTCATGTATTAGTTCACACCTAGTGTAGTTAGAATATTGAAATGGGTATATGAGAATATGTTAAAACCATTTCTTGTTTGATTTGGGTTTAATTAAATTGCTTGAATTGGATTTGATGAAGTTGCATGGGTATTCTATGTATTTACATTTTATGTCTACTAAGTGTTTAATAAAATGCGTAAAAATTCAAGTTTTTTAATTGAATTGATATCACATGTGACTTGCTTGATAATGTTGTGGAAAATGGACATATTGATTATATGTTTTATGATATGATGAACATAATAATATGAATTTCAATTATACATTTTAATTGATTATGCATTGATAGCATCACTTTCAAGGGTATCTGGCATGTATTTGGGTTTTCGTGCATATTTTTAATCAAACACCATTCTTGGTGGGTTGATACGTGGGTTCGAAAAAGTTGAACCTAGGTCTAGTTGAGTCGCACGAGGTTTGCATAGAAAAATGTGTTGGATATAACAAGAAGGGATAGATTCTCCCTCAGTTGCAAGGCCCGATTATTTGGTTCACTCACTTATCTGACGGTAAAATTCTAGAAAAGTGTGTTGGTGTACTCGGAACTAGATGTGGGATGACCTCGAATGTCGTGGTAGTTTAGCAGTCCGTAGGTGTGATATAAATAAATTAGCTACCCAACAAATACACAAAATTTATAAAATAGTTATTGGATGTCTAACATCAATGGTTGGTACTTGGAATGCCTGGATGCATACGCATGACATAACATGTGTAATGGGAACCGGTGGGACTTAGGTTGCATTGCATGCAAGAGTTTCCCTCCCATGCCATGGCATGAAATTATAGCATTCATTTATTAAACGTTGTGTTTAAATGGATGTTTGATATAATGATTTGCATGTGACATTTTATATACATCTGAGTTAGAGAGTGACCTCCTTAGGAAATACTCTATTGAGTATGATTCACTCTTTATTGGATTACATTTCAAGTATTGGATAGGCTTAAGCGGATGGACCTCACTTGGACCCGTATTAATGACAGAGGCAACTTTGTGGATCTAGGTTTTAGAATTGAAGTCCTTTGGATAAATATTATCTTTTGGCCTTGTACATTTTGTAATACAAAACTTGTATTTTGATAAAGGCTTGTTAGGGTACTTTATGTTTGGACATTTATTACGAGTGGATATTGTTTGAGTTTATGGGGTTCAATGTTGAAATTTGGGAAATCTGGGTCCTAGGTACCGGTACCTTACAAGTACCCAGCTTCCAGAGGGCATAGGAACCAGTACTTATTTTCCTAGGTACTGGTACTTGGCTTCTAGAGAGCATAGATATCGGTACTCCTTATCAGAGGTACTGGTATCTCTTCCCAAAATTTGATTTTTGAACTTCAACGCTTCCAAGCTTTCATATTTTGAGTTCTTTTCTTTGGAAAATATGAATCGTTAAATTATAAGTCTTAAACTTTGGAATGTGGACCTTGGAATTGTTATATGAATAATGTATGCGCATGTGACATATTGGATAGAGCTTCCGTGCAATGGAGACTCTGCCCCAAATTTCGTTTTGGGTAGAGTTTTCGTGCAAAGGATACTCTACCCGAATTTTATTTTTTTATGATCCCGGTGAATGAGGTGTAACAACATGATATCGAATTATATAGTACTCATGAGTATTCTGCAGGGTGATAGGTAATCAACGAGTTGAGAAAGGACTACCGAATTTTTGAGTATCATATGCCTACTTGTGTGACATTGATAAGATCACACTCCTCGAGATAAATGAAATGACAAAAGAATTACAGTATAATGGGTTATTAGTTATCAATTTAGAGTTCCTAGGATGGATCTATTGATAAGATCTCTTTCTCTCACAATGTTTACTCTCTTTGTCTTTCTCCCTCACATGGCAGGCAACTGGACTGAACAAAGCATCGGGAGGAGAATGAGAAGAAGAATTTGGCGCCAACTATACATAACACCTGATATTGTCCAGGGGTCATGTTTTTTTTCGAGAGAACTAGATTACAATTTTTTTAATGAATATGATGTTTATATTAATTAGTGATTTTTTCAATTTTTTTAAGATTTTTATATTATATATTATCTTCAAATACACGTAATTGCTTACAATTTTTTTTTATTTGCTATATAATATCTTTAGATACAAAAAATACATAGACAAAAGATGCCGTGAAAGTATTAAAAACTTAAAATAATGTAATTATAATTTATCTGGAATGAGAACGGCAAATTAATAATTTTATGTCATCATTGTGCCACAGTAAGCATCAAAAGAATATCCAAAGCAACAGCTGTGCAGGAGAGAGGTCAGAAAAATTAATGATGTCATCGGAATAAAAAGTTGTGTTCGGGGAGAAGCGTGAACAACGCTACAATAAAGTGCATGCTTTCTCTACGTAAAGATAAAGCCTTCCTTGGTGAGCTGTAAACAACACTACAAAATCTTGTCACGAGACGTTACAGGACAAATTAATCTAAGTTCTCTCTCTCTCTCTTTAGTGACGCACCTCTCCCTTCTCCCCAACCATTTTTCCCTGTAAATCAGAGCTTTTAAGCAAAACCAAGTTTCCATATTTCAGTGCTCTTTTCTGTCTCTCCTTTTCCTTAATGGCTTCACCTCGGGCATTGAAGTTAGTTCTTTTCCTCTCATTTTCCTTTATTGCCCTCAACTTCTGTGTTGTTCCCATTAATTCCCTCAACGTTGGCATTCAAGCAAATGCAGGACTGTCTCTGGTTGGTTTTTCATTTCATCATTTTTCCTTTCCTTTTCTTTTCTTTTCCTTTCCTTTTTTTTATAAGTACTATTGATTTCATATCCTTTGTTTCTTCAATTTGTAGGGTAAAGAATGTAGTAGAACATGTGAATCAGAGTTCTGTACCGGTACCCTTCTCTCTTTCTCTCTCTCTCTCTCTCTGAGGTTTCGTGAAATCTTTACCTGCTTTGCATTGTAAAAAAATTATCCAATTACGTTGATAGAAAATTGTTTTTGTGTACCATACGTCATTTTTTTAATCGATTAAAAAATTGGAATGCGTAAATTTGTCTTATTTAATTATTTTGGCTTATTTTAATATTTTTATGGTCAATACTCACAATTAAATTATTTAGCAAAAAATTATGGCTACAAATCATTTTGATATATCTTTTGTTTACCACAGGGTTCTCCTTAAATTTACATGGCCTCTTAATTTTCACATTTTAATACAAAGTTCTTGTTGCGTTTGGGAGGTCAGCACCTCCATTTCTGAGGTATGGGAAGTACTGTGGGCTGCTGTATGGAGGATGCCCAGGGGAGAAGCCATGCGATGGGCTTGACGCATGTTGTATGAAGCATGACGCCTGCATTCAAGCTAAGAACAGTGAGTTTAGTCATTTATATTACTGATCTATTGATTTTTCAAAATGTCTAATGTTTGCTTTCTGGACCTGTTGCAAATCTCTCTTGGTGATGAGAACCCTTTGAAGTGAAGGGATGAAAATGGTCTTTCCACTTTAAAGCAATTATTAGATGGGCGATGGCAATTTGGTCTTTCAATATTGTTTAATAGCTAGTAGAGGATGATATGAATTTGAGAAGTAAAATCCATGCTTTTAATGGGAGGTCAATTTATTCATGTGAACGAAATTCATTACTGCCAAAGGGAGACCAGATTTATTGTGATTAGGAAATTAAGGATAGTTGAATTCAGAATAAATCTCAATATTATATGAGTTTCAATGTCAATTGAATGCCAACGATGGATAGATAAATTAGACCAAATTACTAAGTCTAGATGTCATCATTGAAACCAATTTAAGTAGGAATTTATACTCAGGAGTGTCACCCTAATGTGTTCGAAATATTCTAGGAAAAAATGTCACTATTTTCGCCTATACACTGGTGGAATATTGTTACAATGACCAATCAATTGCTATAATTTGAAATAATGCATCTGTAGTAGAGGAGAAAACACTCATAGACTAGGGGTTCGGCACCTTTGCTGTTAATTTTTAACAGCTGAGGTGTGTAGCATCGTCTTGTATCAAAATGATGTCGTTCTATTTAACAAAATAATATTGATTTGTTACAAAACTTTGATATTTTAATCAACAACACCTCTATATTTAATTTTTTAACAGCAGACGATCCTCATCCTATAGACTAGTGCGGAGAAACTTGAACAAGTTGTGCAGTGGTATTTCGAAGAGGGCATGAGAAGTCAATCGTTACATTTGGCATTGACTGATCCTTTAAATTCTTAGTTGGAAGAATATTGAGAGAATCAAAGTAGCCAATTAGATTAGAACTATAAAAATAATGTCAGTTGACTAGTTCGTAATTCTACTACAATCATACATTCATACTGTCCTTTCCTTCCCTTCATTTCTATTCCGTATAGGTCACATACTGTGCTAAAAAATGTGAGCTGGTGGGCTGCCAGGTAGCACTTGCAGCTAGCTTAATGAAAACAATTAATGAGCCCCACCAAAAACAATAAAGAATTAGTTGGGGGCAATTAATGTAATTGACAAATCAGTCTTTGTGTGTGTGTCTGTGAGAGAGAGAGAGAGAGAGAGAGAGAGATTTATATGTAAGTACGTATGGAGTCAATATCAATTAGGTGGCTATGCTGGTTTTGTTTGTGGTGCAGATGAGTATCTCAGTCAAGAGTGCAGCCAGAGCTTTTTGAACTGCATAGCAAGGTTCAAGAGATCAGGAGGCCAGACTTTTAAAGGAAACACATGCTCAGTTGATGAGCTTGTTAAAGTTATGACCACTGTCATGAATGCTGCTTTGCTTGCTGGAAGAGTTCTTCACAAACCTTAGTGGAATTTCATTGAAAGAGAAATGAAAGGAACAAAATGATTTCATATTCATGTTGCCCTCTTTTTATCTTTTTATTTTTGTTAGACCTGTGACTTGTGAAACGTGACTTGGTGTGAGCAAACCTTCTAAAGAAATTGTAACTATTTTGTTCAATCACAAGGAGAAATTTGATCCAAACACAATCAGTGTGCTGATCTTACTGTTTTCTCAAAGATGGCACTTGTACTAGGTGGTGCATTCTGTATCATTTGGTAACGATTTTTTGAAACACCTTGTTTTTTGCTATTCTGCCATTTCCCAAGCTTCGGAAATTGTGCTTTCCGATTAACGTACCGGTGTCATTAGCATTAGATCGTGCTTGTCCGTTGGAGCGAATTGGACGATCGGGCCGATGCCCCTTATTCCTCTCACTCTCCGTTCCCTACCGACTCATTAGCATTAGATCCTAAAGTAGGTCCAGGGAATTTTTATCTGAACAAGTCTTTACGGGAAAAGACAACGGTACACAAATAAAAATATCGGTATTCTACCGTCAAGTTTTGTGTGTTGTGATACATATTTTTAAGTTTGCATACATTAAAAAAAATATAATTTTTGTTGTCATATTACAACTTTTATAGCTGAAGTAATAATTTTTGTAGGTTATTTATAATTTTTAGGGTATTTGCTATCAATCCTTATAATTTTAAGATCAATCACAAGTAACTTCAAATGTTGTAAATGACCCAAATAAGTTGTAAGTTTAACCATAAAAGTTGTAAATGATTACTAAAACTTATTAATGACCCTAAAAAATTGTAAATGATTCTCAAATTTCGTAAAAAAAAAAAAAAAAAAACATAAAACTTGTATTGGATGTACAAAACCAAAAAAAATTCAATAGCCAAGAATTCGAATTGGGGGGGGGGGGGGCAAAATATAATTGAAAATAATCCACCAGTTGATATTGGAAAAAAATTGACTACAAGAATGGCAAAATAGACTAAGATTCAAGATAAAATATTGAAATAGTAAAATTAATTTTTATTTTTCTTAAACAAAATTTAACAAAAAGGCACAAAATAATTTTTTTTTGGCATATTTTAATTATGTTACAGTGAAATATAACGTTTTTAAAAATCCCTAATATTTTTTATTTGCTTAATTGTAAGATCATTCGCAAGCTTATTGAGAAATTTCATATTTAAAATAGTATGAAATACTTTTTGTTTATAACATATCACTTTTTGCATCCAATCCTGTTTATTGACTATATATTGTAAACATACATATGAATAGTAAATGGCAGCTGACGGGCTGTTGGCAGCTATCCAACTAGAAACTAAAACACAGTTACCCATGACAGTCGAAACGCATGGGATTCTCTTGGTAGCTTAAACCAAACGATTGTACTGCTCAAGGCCGAGAGGCATAGCCAATGTCGAGTGTTAAATGACATCAATGTGTGAGCCTCAAGTAACGCAGTGATATGACATGTTATCATTGACTCTCTAATCCACGAAGAACTCGAGAACGACTGTCAAGCTACGGAGGCATGGCCATCATGACTAAGGGGTAGCCTTGGGGGATCCAATGAAGGTCCCAGCTATTGCTCATAAATGCTCGGCAATAAGGTACAAGCATTTGATTAGAACACTCGATGGTTGGGGATGGAGTTATAAATGCATGATCCATTCTAGCATGCAAACCTAGATGTCCAATCACCCAACATTAATGAGGTGTGATAGAATAACACTTATTATGCTAGGCGATGTGCACAGACTACTAAAGCCTAGATTGGAATCCATATGGGAGAGACATCTTTGCAATCCAAGGTATAAATACTGCATCAAAACAGAAAATCAGGTATGCAAGTAAGAATAGCTTTGCACTGTACATCCTTTCGTACTTAAGCATCGACTAACTTAAGCATTCGAGAGGATAAGCTGGGTGTACACCCTACCCTTTTTTTTTTTACATTGATCCTTGTTTTAGGATCAATCATTGAACTCACCTAGAAGACTGCTATCTCAATCAATTGTAGGAAATCACCCATGCATTTTTGGCATCGTCTGTGGTAAAGACTCGAATCAGCCTTCCTAGTAGCACTTCACTATGTTGACCACTCGATTGTAGAATGAATAGGAAACTTGTGTGTGAGAAATATGGTTGTTCCTTTTTCGACGGTAATGCTTGATTGTGTTCACTCTAATCTCCAAACACGAACCCTCAATGTGTATGTGACTTATGTGTGTAGGTGAGTGTCATTATCCCATGGGTTCAATGCTAGAAATGGAAAAAATGTGTGTGTGAATAAAAATGTGTGTATGTGTGTGCAAATGTGCTACCCAAGAGTAGAGAGACTTGCAATTGTCATGTTTTACTTGGAATGAGTATTCCAAGGTCGTCTCCTCAGGGAAGGAAAGACAAATTGTGGTGAAGGTGATTTTGTAAAAGTGGAAAAGTGTAAGATCATGTAAATTGGTGTTTAGGTGAGTGAAGATTGTTGGTAAAATGTAATAAAAACTAGGTTGGCTAATCAAAAGAGGTTATTCCAATGGGAATACCAAATCAACTCAATTCATTCAACCAATGATGCCTAGGTGCTTGATTGATTCCTAGGAAGTGAGGGACTAATGTGGAGTGTAGGCTCAAGCATACCCGTGACAAGTCTACAGTGTATCAAGAACTCACAACCACATCTGCACTCAATCTAGTCAAACCAATCACTTAACACTATGAGGTAGAATGGAGAAGAGTTGATTTAGCATACCCAAGAGAAAATCTCCCTTAGATTAGCCAACAAAGCTTAGCTACTTGATTAAGGTCTAAAACTTATTTATTGAAAAGATCAATTATTTGGTTAAGAAAGGGTGATAAATATGATAATTTATTTAAGAATTGATGCTATGCAAATAGAGGATGAGTTGTATTTATTTTGTAGTAAAAAGGCTCAAGAATGGAAGAATTAGAGGAAGGAGGGAAGCATAGATGAGAAGAGACACACTAGAGTACGCGTCCAGACAGTGGAAGGCATCGCATTCAGACGCAAGTGGCAGAATGTGGAATCAAGGATAAATGAGTTACTGGAATTCGCGTCCGAACGCGTTTCATTAGTCTGCCAAAACCATAGCAGAAATTTAGTGCAATTCAGTATTTTCTTCATTAATCTTTTAAATATGAGTTGAAGACTTTGTAAAGATCATCTTTTTATTGGGAGTCCTTTTATATTTTATTTTTGCTTTTAGTTTATCATGTATAGCTAAAAGGTTTAGCAAGGGCTAGGGGGGACCTCTCAATGACGTACGGTAATGTTATTGACTTATGAGCTTAATTGTATGTGATATTTTGTTAATTCAACTTTTGATTTCTTAGCAAAGTTTTTTCTTTGTAAAAATCCTTGAGTCCTTGTGTCATATACATTGATTGCTTGAATTTTCCTGCGAGTTAAATAACTAGTTATTCAATGCTTAAGTTGATTACCCTTATTTTATAGAATAATATAATTGGATAATTATTCAAGTTCATAAATAATCTTTTGATTATAAGTAAAGATATTCTTGTGGTTTTAGTGATAAATTTGGTGACTTGAATCAACTGACATTTGATTATTGTTTAGGGTTAGAAATTAAGTCTGTAATCATTATTGTATGAATTTGAGAGGGAGTACTTGATGCTCTAGTATTTCTGTTATACTATTTTAATTACTTTAATCACAATTCTCTGAGGGTTTGCCCTCGGTGTTCTGAGAAATATATTACGTCGCTCAACTTGCACTTGAGTTTACATTATTAAAGTTGAATCAAGTTTTTGGCACCGTTGTCGGGGAATTTGAAAGACAAGAAGCCACACATCTATTGAGGTTTTCGGCATTTACGATTTGTCGGAGATTCGATAATTTTGTTCCAATTTTTATTTATTTATTTTACTGAAATTCATTTTATTTTGTTACTAAGTTTAGTATTCTATTTTAAATTTTATTTCTTTTATTTCTTTTATGAGTTATTGGCATCGTGATTTGAGTGATCGTTTGATAAGAGAAGATTTAGATACTCTACTTGGAAATATTTTTGATTCATCTGATTCAAATCATTCTTTGCATACAATGGTTACTAATCCTAATAATAATAGGCAAAATAATCTTCCTGAACACGAGGATCATGAGGATAAGATAAGTAATCATGATGAGAATGATGTTGATAATCTGAATGCTAATCATGATCGGACTTTGCGTGATTATCTACAACCGACACGTCATACTGCACCCTCATGCATCATCTTTCCATTAAATGCCACAAATTTTGTTTTTAAACTTGGCATGATTGCATTAATCCCAAAACTTCATGGCATAGAGTCAGAAAACCCTTATTTGCACATTAGAGACTTTGAAGAGGTATGTGCCACATTCCATGATCAGACTGTGTCAGCTAATACAATTAGATTGAAGCTCTTTCCTTTTTCATTAAAGGAAAAATATAAGACTTAGTTACATTCACTCAGACCTAGGTCCATAAGTACATGGCCAAAGATGCAAAAAGAATTTCTAAAAAAAGCTTTTTCCCACACATCATACAAACTCTTTCAAAAGGCAAATCATGAATTTTTCTCAAAAAAAGTCTAAATTTTTTTACCAGAGTTGGGATAGATTTAAAGACCTCCTTGCATCTTGTCCACATCATGGTTATGAGAGCTGACATGTGATAAGTTTCTTTTATGAAGGTTTGAGCCCACAAATGCTTTAGTTTCTAGAAATGATGTGTAATTGTGATTTTATGAATAAGGAACTAGATGAGGCCCTTGACTTTTTAGATCAGTTGGCCGAGAATGCACAATCTTGGGATACTACTTCTCAAGAACCTCCTAAAAGTAAGACTACACAATCGTCATCAAGTGGGGGAAATACCAATTGAGGGAGGAAGATGACCTAGAGGCTAGAATTGCCACCTTAGCTAGAAGGGTTGAGGCCATGGAATTTAAAAAGGTTAATAAAATTGACACAATACAAGTTGAGGAGATTTGTA